GGAGAGACAAGTCTGATATACTGTCATCGAAGCGTAGCATTCGCTATTAATTACATACATAAGTATAAGGAAATAAAATTGTACATTCACTACTAGCTATATATAGATTTTGGCGTAGTAATAAATACAGTTTTTGATCCATCTCCGATGTAAATGGCTCTGTGATCAAGGTTGGCAGATGCTGGGAAGGAATTGTTAGGTGGAGATTTGAAGTGCTAAATCTAGTATTCTATCATCGAAACATGCCTTTAGTTGCTATGCAAGTATAAGAAAATAAAGTTATATATTTGTTACTTGTTATAATTTCTGGTGTAATTCTAAGTGTTTGATCTAATTAACTATATCCAATAAAGTAATTCTAACTTTATGATTATAATTTTTGTATTAGGCAGTTAATCTCGTTGAGTAGAAATCATTATAAGTATATATATTAAAGGTTACTAGTAGTATTCCATTTGTAATTAATATAGTTACTATTCTCTTAAAAAATTATATAGTAATAAGATGCCAAAACATCATGTCCCCATTCATATATATACATATTAAAACTTAAAACTCTCGATCATTACGATGACTATAAACACATAATTAATTAATTAATTAGTTAATTGATTAATTAATTATTCATTTAGTTTCCTATTATTAATTATATAAAGTCAACCGAAGCTTTAGTGGTGTATCAATCTTTGTCATTGACATGCAATTGATGCACACAGAATCTCCTATTTTTTTATTAACTTGTTTACGTGGACTTAAGCTCTTAATTATTATTTGGTAATATAATCTAGCCGTAAGTTTTTTTTTTTTTTTTTTTTTTTTAAGGTTAGCCGTAAGTTATTAATTATCTAGTATTTGTATTTTGTAGTATTGATGGGATATATTAATAATTTAAAGTCAAGATTATATTTATCATCTAGCCGTAAGTTATTTTTTTTTTTGAAGGTTAGCCGTAAGTTATTAATTATCTAGTATTTGTATTTTGTAGTATTGATGGGATATTAATAATTTAAAGTCAAGATTATATTTATCGGGCATTAATTATCATATCTCTTTCATTATTTTATTTATAATAATGAACGTTAACCCGATACCTATAAACGTTGTTTTCATTAGAATCATGTGTCATTGGTGCTTGTAATAATCTTTTATAAATGTTGTGATTGTTGGATAATGCACATATTTATTTTATTAGTGCGATATTAATCAATAATTAATTAAGTTGATCTTAATCATCCACCTAATCTTGTTTAATTATATATCATTCTTGTTTTAAAACAATTTGCACAAAACCTTACATAATGGATTGTTAAAGAATGTTGGGATTGATTAAGCGCCTATCACTACACCAAAAGTTATAATTAGTAATTTTATTTCATTGTGTATAGTAGCAGTATTGTTCTAATTAATACCAACTTTCATATTAAGTACTTTACCACTACTATGCTAAAAGCTATAATTAGTAGCGAAGTCGTAACTTTATTTTCTTATACTTCTGTAACAGCCAACATATCAGTCTTGGTTTATAAATATTGCATCTTGTCAATTGGGTAAAACTTCATTAGCAATGTTTAAAGCTGCCCTAGTATTTTTCCAAATTGAGACCTGAGAGGGACATATAGATTTTAATATAAGATTAATCTTAATTATTAACTATGGGGAAAAAATAAACAAATAAGCCTTAAAAAACAAGTTGAATTCTAGAATCCACTTGTCTTCAAGACTGCAACTTGTGACTAATATATCTATTAAAGCCGCCTTGGCCATAGCGACAAAGTTTTATCAGCTAAAATATATTCTAATTTAAAAAATAGTTTTTTTTTTAATGCAATTTAAAAAATAGTTTAATCATGCATAAGAACATGACAATTGGTGATTATGATTTGTGGTGTTAATAATGAATTAGTTTTGGTGATCAGACTCACGTGTGCCCTCAATTCATAGTCAACTTCATGCTGAATGAACCGGCACAAAATAGATTAAATAAATAAATAAAATAAAAAATAACACCAATTTTGTAGTATTTGTTGTAAATTATTTATCACTTATTTGCCCGTTGGTTGAGCATATAATATATATATAAAACATAAATATGTAATCTAACTATAGGTGAGACGAAATGTGTACATCGTCTTTCAACTCACACATGAAGGAGCGTGTTGAGCGTATAATAATATATAAAATGTAAATGTGTACGTTAATTATTTCACAGTAAAAATAGTAATAATGGCATTTTTTTTTGGTAAATCATCAAATGAGATATATATGGTAGATTAAGATAGTGAAATATGAATTTAAGATTATTAATTGAATAATCATTGTAATTTATTATCAAATTATATTTCAATTTGATGTTTGCCAAGATTATTGAATTATTGAAAGATTTAAATATCATTAATGTTGTGTTAATAAATAAATCTATTTTATAAAAATAGACTTGATAATAGGGTGCATCATTATATTATCAATTTGTTTGTTGAAGAAGCTAAGATTATTAAATGCAAATAATTAAAAGATGAATAGATGCTCCCAATTATATGATAAATATCATTCATTACAACAAAATGATCACATTAAACTCTTAAATAATGTGCACTTACAAATAAAAGCAATAAAGGATCTCTTCATGGTCCAACAACTTGTTTAAATGGAAGAAATATAATTTATTTAAAGTAAGGTCAAGAGACCCCAATGATGTTTAAACTTGACCATTACAAAACTATGACCAACAATATTTATTTATGTATATGTTCTATCTGTCAAATATTTTCAGTCCAAAGAATCTAGACTCCATCTTTAGAGTTCGAACCTATAACCACCCATCTAAATGGTAACCGAGATTCATTACACTACATGGTAGTTAGCGATTAATTTTGAATTAATTAGGAAATTCTCCTAATATTTTATGTTATGTTCACAAGATATATATCTGAGAACTAGCTTATTAAAAGGAAACTAAAGCTTCTCACTTGAAAATTAACAATAATTTAACTTCAAATTAGTTTCAAAGTAACTATCTATATTTAGTGTTGTAAAAATTGGTCTAAACGATTACCTAGACGCCTCTAGGCCAAGGAGATTTAACTTCTAGGCGCCTTTTAGTCGGTCGACTGACTAGGTGCCTGACTCAACCGACTTGACACCTAACTCAGCTAAGTCGTCAATCAACTCGTCTGGACTACTAGGGCGTATCCGCGCCTAACTTGGGTGAGTATTTTTTTAAGGATTTAGGACATCTATACATCATCATTATTATTATTATTATACTCGGTCGTCTAACTAAGGCTTAGCACGTTCTGCAACCTTGTCTACATTATGAACAAAACATCTCAAATGTAAAGTGTTCCCCTACGTGGACAGGTCCATATTCTTTAAATTTGGACTGTTTATTTGTGAACATGGATCTAGCCCATTACTATAAGCCTATTATGGATGGAAATCCACTTCATCCTCAAAAATTATGCCATAGAATCGTGTTCACCGAGAATGGTGAATACAAGGCAAAACGACGTCGTTTTTAGGCCAAAAAAAATATTTCGCGGATGTGGAGTTAACGGCGCGCGTTTGATCAGATTATGAATTTTCTGTTATGAGATTATGAATTTTATGAAAATTCATAATCTCATAACAGAAAATTCATAATCGCATAACAGAAAATTCATAATCTCACAACTGAAAATTCATAATCTCATAACAGAAAATTAATAATCTTATAACAGAAAATTCATAATCTCATAGTTCCAAAGTGAATGTGTAGGCATGGTTCCAAAGTGAATGTGCAGGCATGAATTCATAATTTATGAATGTCCAAAATCTTTGTTCACCTCAAATTAAAGTGAAACCGCAAAATGTGAAAATAAAGAAAAAAAGTCACGCAATTAATTTAAAAAAAAAAAAAATAACGGTGTACTAACACCATTAGAACCGTGTTCACCATGAATGGTGAACACGGTTCCATGGCATAACGTCTGAATATCTGGCTGGAATTCATTTTCAGAAATCATTCTATAAAAATTTATGGGCCGAAGCCCTTCTCCAAGCATGGGTTTACTATCCAGGCCAAGAAAAAATAATTTATTGACATTTTAGGCCTGAGTTCTATGGGCCTAAAAGAATTAATATAAACTTTTGTTTTTGAGTTAGCTCAACTATTATGTAAAAATCTTCACATCTAAAGTGCCCAGAACTTTAAAAAGTAATAAATATAGTTCTGTTGTGAAATTGGATGTATTCATCATTGTATCATTTACATGGAGAAGAAAGGAACATAAATGTCCTATTTGGTAAAATAATTAACTTATAGATTAATTTTGACTTATTTGACTATTATTAATTTTTTAATTTGGTTAAAAATTCAATATAAGTATTTGGTTAATTAATTTTTTGTAACTTCAAAATGCTAAAATTTAAAAAGTTGCTTAAAGTAACTTTTTCAATTAGTTTTTTGAGAAAAGATATTATACCAAATAGTTATCAGCTAACAGCTAATTTACCAAACAACTTTCTACCATAAGCTAATGTTATCAATTAGTTATACCATCTAATTTAACCCAATCAGCTAACAACTATCAGCTAACAGTCATTTACCAAACAGGGCCAAAGAAAGAGACAATAAATAGAAAGAGAATTGTTGAGCATATAACCAGTAATGTACAGTCCAACTATAAAATTAGGCTTTTAATTGAGATGGAACACATACTTCAATTTGATATCAGAGCCAGATCAAGGGTCATGGGTTCAAAACTTTATGTCACTCGACCTGGTTTGTAACACTCCCATATGAAAGAATGTGGGTTCGAACTTTACGTCACTCGACCTGGTCTTGTAACACTCCCATATGGAAGAATGTGGGTTCGAGATTTAAAAAAACAATTAGTATTGACTCTTTGTTTAGTACTAAACCTCCAACACATTTTAATAAGTTCTTGTTTCCATGTTACCTCGGCGGCCTCACTTCCACATGGTGTGCCCACGTTTTATGTGTGCAAAGTTGACGGTACCACGGCCGAGCAAGATGGAGCACCAATGGCCGGTCCTCTTTATACGATGTTGAAAGTTCAAACCCACTACCCTTTCCCTGTGGGGACGATTTTTTGTCCGATTCAAATTCCCCTGTTGAATGATTGACATTTCTATTTCTACAATTCCCGATTCTCTCTCTCACACTAATCATTATGGACCTTGCCGTTGCTCTCACCTCCGCCTTCCGGCCGGAATATTCTACTTTTCGCCGGAAATTCCATGGACCCGTTCCTTCTCCCAGGAGGAGGCGGCGAGTGGCGATCGCCATGGCGCTAAACAAGCCAAGAATTGAAGGCGTGAGTGATGAGCTCAACACTATCGCTTCCCAGAACTTGGATTTCGCCCCTGCCCGGAGAAGGGTCCGATCCGCTTTCCTTTCTGTGCAGCAACACCTTGATCATCTCTTGTTCAAGGTTTGTTCTTTCAATCGTTTTCTCCTCTTGGTTTAAAGTTTTGATTTTTTCGGATAACAAGTGATTGGGTTTCTGTTTTCTTGATTTTTCATGTGTTATTAATGGTGGATATATAGATGGCTCCAGCTGGGATCAGAATGGAGGAGGTATATTTCTCAATTTCAGAATATTTATTATTAATTTGCAGCTTATAATTTGCTAAGAAAGTTGTTTTTTTCTACTTTAATTGCTGATTTTTTCTGTTCTTTTGGCTTTCCTTATCTGGAAATAAGTTTAGTTTACTGGAACTTAAGAGTCAGGGAATTGATCTAAAACTCAATCACTCTTATTGGAAATTGGATAATAAGAATAATGCCATTAAACTACTCTGGATATTATAATTTCAGAGATCCTAACAATCTTTATTAGTCATCCTTGTCTACCTGGTTGCTAGTAAATGTGATGTAAAGTTTTTGTATTTCCCTTGAAATTTGTAGTGGTATGAACGGAATTCAAAAGGTCAAGAAATTTTCTGCAAAAGTTGGTTGCCAAAGCCCGGTGTACGTATCAAAGGTTCTCTGTGTTTTTGTCATGGATACGGTGATACTTGCACCTTCTTCTTTGAAGGTTTGTATGAAATATGAATCCTTTTCATTGCTTTCAGTGAAACAAAAAATTTATTTTACATTGCTAATATGTTGACGTATATTATATTGGGATTTCTAGGCATAGCTAAGTACATTGCTGCTTCTGGATATGGTGTCTATGCTGTTGATCATCCCGGTTTTGGTCTTTCTGATGGCTTGCATGGTTATGTTCGTCAATTTGATGACATAGTTGACAATGCCAACGAACAGTTTCGAAAGATTAAAGGTGTGTCCAAGAACTATTCCCCTTAACATTATTTATAACTTGATTTACGATCTAGGCTGTATTTCCCTGCTTTGATTAATGACAAAACTTTTGGTTATTCTTTTATTCAAGTATCTGAACTTAAAGTTGCCAAGCACCTTGTGCTTAGATGGCACCTCTGTGGCTCTCCTTGAGAGAAGGTTGGGCTGCAACAGATAGAGAAAGTATAGAACAGATACTACCTTGTAATAGAGTCAATAGTATTCAAAAAACTAACTTAAAGTTAGCAAAGAAACCTAAAATTTGACTTCCATAGGAATATGTTTTGTTGTTCTTCCTAATGTTTACGAGAATTTATTGCTAATGGGGCAGTCAGGCCAGAAGTACGAGGGCTTCCCCACTTCATATTCGGGCAGTCCATGGGCGGTGCAATTGCTTTAAAGGCTATTTTGAAGGAACCGCTCGAATGGGATGGCATTGTTCTTGTTGCACCGATGTGTAAAGTAAGTCTTCCTAAGCTGAACTTCGTAAATTTCTTGAACATTAAATTTAGGAACAAGTCTGGTGTGAGATTTCTAAACATCGAGGATGATTCTTATTCGAGAGAAGAGTTCATTTCGATTCTTATTTCTCATTGTAACTTAAACAAAGTTTCCTCTAAAGAGATTAACTGCTATATTTCGTGTTCCAGAAATGTGAAGTTATTGTCCCAAGGTGGAACATTTTTGCTGACCTTCGGTTGATGTTAAGATTGCAGAGGAAATGACACCTCCAGTCCCGCTTCAAAAGGCCTTGATTCTTATGTCCAATTTTATGCCGAAGGCGAAGTTAGTTCCGACACAAGATTTGGCAGAACTCGCGTTCAGAGAGCCCGTGAAACGGAAACTGGTAATCATTTCGTTTCGTTTTCGATACAGGAACTGCATAATGGAACCCACTTTTGTTATTTTTGACTTTCTGCACATTATCTGGTAAATTAAAGCATGTGCTCTATCTCAACTACACGCCCCCTCACGTGTGCGGGCCAGTTACTTTCGATGGGCTCCATGCTTTGATACCAGATTGAAGCATTGTGCTTCATCTTAATTAAAAGCCTAAGCTGATAGTTGGATTGCACATTTATGTTTATATGGTACACTGAGCTAGTTCTTTTCTAGGCTCCATACAATGTGATCTGTTACTCGGATCGAACGCGTTTGAAGACTGCTGTAGAACTATTGAACGCTACAAAATACATAGAATCGCAACTGGAGAAGGTAAGTATTGCGTGTTCATTCAAAAGATAGGAACATCGTTTCGCGCTTTATTCAGGATTAGAACTAACATATCCCGGGCGGGATCACAGGTTTCATCCCCGATCCTCATTCTTCATGGCGCATCTGACAGAGTGACGGATCCTCGCATAAGTCAGTTTCTCCACGAGAGGGCTTCGAGCAAGGACAAAACTCTCAAGCTTTATGAAGGCGGCTATCACTGCATTCTCGAAGGGGAGCCCGATGACCGGATTTTAACTGTACTAAACGACATCATCTCTTGGCTTGATTCTCATTGCGGTGCAAAATAGTCACATCCCCTTTAGCCCTCTTTGTGATCCTCCATTTTAGTCCCTTTTAAGAGTGGTCTATTTTGAGAGGGTGCCATTGATTTCTAGTTTCTAATCTAAACTAAAAAGTTTAGGGAGTTGAAGAGAGAAAATTGATTGCTAAATTCTTTTTGGGAGTAGTTTCCCCAACCTCTAAGGCAGGTATATAAACATGAAGCAAGAAAACAAGTTTGTATTAATTGGCTTGTTTGCATGTTTTCTTGTACAATGTGAAACATGGGATTGGGAAAATATATAATACCAGTCTTTATGAGGATGTTTTCTGTTGTTAAGAGCTGCTGTGAGGAAGTTTTAGATCTATGGAGTTGTACCAAGGATTTGCATTTTATCTTTTTGCTATAATCTAAGTACCAACTGTTATACCATGGATCAGGGTTCACCTTGTATTGTAGATTCTGGTCCATATTTGCAGTTAACATATTATGTTTTTTCAGTTAATAAATCGAAATAATGTCGGGAAAGTTGTCTGTTTAAATCACTCATAATGTACTTAAAAATAATGAAACAAGCATGCAAATCACTTGATAATAAAATAGAAAGTTAAGAAGGGTAAGTTAATTTTTATTAATCTTCGAAGAATATGCATGAATTGATTAAATTATTTGCTACAATTATATCAACAAGGGGTGGTGGCGCAGTTGGCTAGCGCGTAGGTCTCATAGCTAAGAGTAATCCTGAGGTCGAGAGTTCGAGCCTCTCTCACCCCATTCATTTTACTACGCCTCAGAGTCTGAGTTGTCCAAGATGAGATGAGTTAGAAATTTGAATTTCAATTGTTAACTATTATGTAATTTTCTCATGCATTTTTAATTGTAGTCAATATAGCAATCAATTGTTTTATCATATTGTAAATTTAATCTCTCAATTTATTGTATTTTATAAATTTAACAACTAGATTTACAACATGGTAAAACGATGAAGGGTCAAATTGACTAAGACCCTGTAAAATAGTTAGTCTATTAGTTAATTTTGACTTATTTAAGTAACCAATATTAGCTGTTTGACTTGGTTAAACAATCAATATGAGTTGGCTCATTTAATTAACCACTATTAGCTGTTTGACTTGGTTAAACAATTAATATGAGTTATATATATAGTGAAAATTCGCAACCACTCTAAACTGTCTAGTGAAAGTTTGCAACCACTCTAAACTGTCTAGTGAAAGTTCGCAACCACTCTAAAATGTCTAGTGGGTGCATGATGAGCATGCAACCAATGGGCAACATGCATGTCATCACATCTATTCCTCTTCTTTTTGTTTTCTCTTTTTGACAAAAATTGCAACTTGCACAAAATTTTCCATTCTCTCTCCTCCAACATAGTTATTATGTGTTTAATTCTTTCTATGCCGCCAGTCAAAAAATTACGAAAAAACCTCTATTAGAATGTGCCCTGATAATAATGTTTTGTTTGATTATTGTGTAGCACCAAATTATTATGGATAGGAGTACACGTGGGGGTGGTTGCTGATCGCCTTTATGTCATAGTAACATATATAACATATATACACTAGCATGCGGGCATGGCTTGTAAATGCCGGCCACCTAACCAAGGCGGAGGAGACGGTTGTCCTCTCCCGTGACAGCTTGCCTACATTCAAACAGAAAATGACTAATTTCTTCTATAATTATGAAGCCACTCTGTTTTGATAACGAAACAATATAATAATTAATGCTCTTTCATAACATTATCTATTTTTATAAAATATAAATTTATATTCATGATATTGTAAAAAAAATTTATAACCATGAATTCATGATCTGGTTGACTCTGATATCAAATTAAAACATGTGTTTCGATCCATCTCAATAAAAGTCTGAACGTATAATGTTAGACTGCATATTTATATTTAAATTTATATATTATGTATGCTCAAATTATGAGATTATTGTCAATAATTAAGCTTCACTTATAACATACTATTTCTAATCCTACCGAAACAAATAATATAATGATATTTCATGTATAATTCATTCTCAACCTATTCGAATAGTTCATCATCGATCTGTTCAAATTTGACAATGTATGTACGTCAACTAGCTAGTACCATGCATGTATGTATATATTAGATAATGTAAGCATAATTCCGTTTTAAAATCGTGTATACATTTCCTAAATCAAATATTCAAAACTTAGTTTGTTCACAATAAGCATCACTGGGCTAAGGATATGATGTTTGTTGGGAATCTTATATCCTAGCAAGCTTATAGTAAGAATTGAATCTCAAATGACCTCATGGGTAACTTAATTGGTTCCTAAGTGGTAGATTGTGGCCTGGTGGGTAAGAATACAGGACCGAGCTAAGCCATGGCAGTCGTAATATGGGAGTTAAACCCAATATAATGTTGTGGGCACCAGACACTGGTCTTTCCACCTAATCGGTCGTTAAGTCAGAATAATTTATCCATCCACTGTCATGCTGGGCCATGGTGTAGCAACCCTGGGAGCGAGGGAATTTTGCCTTTTTTAATCGATGGTTCAAGTGATGAGAATAGAGTTGGGGTAAAAAGTGTAGACTAATCTGATACATCAATTTGTGTTGATCAACCATTGAGGGTGGTTGTTAAATAAGACGAAAAGAGACATGTCAATTACAAGATCATCTTGTAAAAAGTGAGGACCCGTCACTTTCATCCATCAGATTCATCAATCATTTTTTAAAAATTAAAATCCTCGACCATTTAATGAATATCATGTGTCCTCACACAGACACACATACACAATCCAGATCAAGCAACATAACATATTGTGTTTGGTACCCATTTTGTAGGGTTTGGTTGGGGAAAGAGGGAATAAGATTGAGAAAAAAACCAGCAGAGTTAGGAAAATGAGACAAACATAAAACAGCAAAAACTTCTCTCCAATATAATGTACAAGTTCAAAGTTCAAACACACACACACACAAAACAGTGATGATATATATATATACACTTTAATTTTGTAGTACAACGTAACTAGCCACCCTTCCAAGCAAGCCAAGATAATCTTTGCGAACTTCCATGTTTATACTGTCAAACGTTGGCAAAAAAGTTGACAAGTCTTATGTCCCTTTTGGGATTGAGATGAAAATGGCAAGGAGAAAATGGCAAAAAATTAGGGCAAACAGTAAAAAGGCCAAACACAAAATGGTTAAGTGGGGATACACTACATGACATATATCCCTGCACAGGTTTAATGTGAGAGTAAGGTGACAGCAAGAGAAAGAACAATTTCAGGGAACAAAGCTAAAAGGGATTTAACTTTTTTTGCCATCCAGAATAGAAGATCAGATAATATAGCCTTTTTAGACCTTATTTTCTATTATATTATGCCTTACTTTTTCCTCTTCCACCCACACCCATGCACACCCAACTTTTTATATTATCTTTTTTTTTTTTTTTTGGTGAAAGTAAAATTCAATTTGTTATTTGGGAGTGTTTGATAAATAATTATTGGCTGATTGAGTTAGTAAATTTGACTAGTTCATGTTTTAGCTGAACATAGAAACTATGTTTGGTAAATTAGCTGTTAATTGATAGTTGATTAATTACATGCAAAATGATTTTATCAAAAAGTTGATTGAAAAAAATTATTTTGAGGGAAATGGCTATAACGTGACACAACTTTAATTTTGATTTGTTATTCAGAATTTTGGCCTACATATATTGCTAGCAGCCTAATTTTTTTCAACATTATGAAAATCTAAATCTAATAGGATTTTTTTTAAAGGATTAAAAAAATAAAATTAAAAGTCTGGAAAAGCATTGTTACCTAATTATCGACTTTAGTAGTTTAGCTAAAAAAAAATTGTCAGGGTAAAAATTTAACTTTATTGACTGGTAAATCATCGTTTTCTATGGAGTCTGTTTATTTGAGGAAAATTTTATGTGTTTATGCAATGAAATTGTAGCCTGCAATTCCATTTTTTTTAATTTGTTGCATTGTGTTTTATTACTTTTATTAGATATACTCATACACATGAGTCAAAAATACAATTTATAAAGCACAAAGTATAATTTTATAAAGTACATGATTTTATAAATTTTCTTTGATGATTCTTTTTATTTATAATAATAAATCTTTTTAATACGCCCCTAACCCATTTCAAAATAAATTAATAGGTTTTGTTGTGTTAACTGTAAGCTGCAAAGTTCAATCCCATACTTTACTTCTTTCAGCTTCAAACTTATAACTCTTTTCGACATTGAATTATTTTTTTATAATACAATTTAATCACTTACTATAGATAATTACTTGTCAAAAAGCTCCACATCTCGGACCTATAAAATTAAGGATGAGTATATCATAGTGACTCAACCAGCAACTCATTAGGTCGAAAGATCAATAACTAATACTCACAAAGAGTTCACTATATTGAGTGAAACTCCCGACTATAATTGTCACGATTTGTTACGTATCTTTATTCATAATTTAATCACTCAGAAATTAACTGAACTGTTCGAGGATGAGTGTTAATAAATATGTACTCTTCTAACCCTACCAATAATTCTCATATTTTGGTCAGTGTACAGTTCGGATTTGACATTTCCTCGTGCTGGTGGCGCCCACTTCCTCGCCTGCCCTCCCTCCACAGACCATAATTCTCATTTAATTATTAAAAATTAAAATTATATACTTTTTCTTTAAAAAAAACTAATAAATAATTAATATTCATGTATATTTAGAAAAAAAAATATTTACTAATTCACATTTATATATTTTATATTTATACTTTTTTCACCAGATGAAAAGAAAAAAAATACTCCAAGATATTAACCTAGTGGATGAAAAAACATTATTTATTAATTGTTTCTAGCGATAAAGTGATGGTTCAATTATTTCTACTGTGTGATATTTTATTACAAAATTAGAAACTTGTAACAGATCAGTATATCACTATTTAATAATAAAATATTTTTATGCAATTATTTCATGATGTAATAAATTAACAACACTTTTCAAGTGCATGTGTTAATTGAAGTCAAATAATATGTATAAGTTAAAATTATTTTTGTCTGTGGTCAAAAACTATATTTGACCATGTAAATGACACATATGGAATTTGGTGAAGTCATCGTGGATTAGGTGACGGAATATCTGTAACAAGTTCTACCAAGGTACAACTTTATAAATTTAATTAATGGCAGGATTTTGTTTAATTATTATTATTTTTGTTTGGGTACATTGAACCAAATATGTTATAAGTTATTCCCAAAATTATATTTTCAGTAGGGAGTAAGAACACATCTTGAAAATTGAAATTGATTAGGCACGTTGAGTCTAAAGTCTAA